AGTGCTGCGATCTTGGCTCACTGCAAGCTCCGCCTCCCAGGTTCACGCCATTCTCCTGCCTCAGCCTCCCAAGTAGCTGGGACTACAGGCACCGGCTACCATGCCCGGCTAATTTTTTTGTATTTTTTTAGTAGAGATGGGGTTTCACCATGTTAGCCAGGATGGTCTCAATCTCCTGACCTTGTGATCCACCCGCCTCGGCCTCCCAAAGTGTTGGGATTACAGGCGTGAGCCACAGCACCTGGCCCTGGCTCAGTTTTGTATTTTTAGTAGAGACGGGGTTTCGCCACATTGGCTAGGCTGGTCTCAAACTCCTGACGTGACCTGAAGTGACCCTCCTGCCTCAGCCTCCCAAAGCACTGGGATTACAGGCATGAGGCACCGTGCCTGGCCTAGAACCCAAGACTTGGGTATGGGAGAAAATAAGAATCCATTCACGGATTTCCTAGAGAGATAATGTGCTTTCAGAAAAACAAAAACAAAAAAAAACCCCCCAAGAAACATGGAGTCTTTCTGGCTTCCGTAGCCCAGGAACATGTGTGACACCTTGGGCAAGTCAGTAACCCCGAGTATCCACTGCCTCCTCTGTAAAATGAAGCCTGCCTTAGAGCACCTTGAGGACTTCCTATCCCCTCTATGGTCCCCCAGGATATAGGGAGAATGAAATGAATATGGGTCAAGCCACTAACACCTAATGCAAAACCTTGTGGCTACTTTACCTCCACCTCATGGATTCATTGTGCAATGAGGTTGTCATGAAAAACCACCTGAGATAAACTGCTCTGGAGTAAAAATTTTTTCACTGCTGCTTCACTGGAATTCATTAAGCTGGAGCAGGGAGGGAAAGGTGATACAGGTTACAGATGGCTGAGGCCACGTCCAGAGCAGATTTGACAGGGTCCCGGGGGAGTGGCTGAGGCTTCCCCAGGTATCTTAGGACAAGTGCAGCTCTGTCATAATTTTCAAAGGAGCAAGGGAGTAACCACAGTTTCTTCTTGCGGAAAGACATGCTAAAGGGGTGTTTCATGGACACTCAGAAGAAAAGCAATTCTGCGGATGTAAAAGGACCCAGTGCAATCCACAAGAGAAGAGTTATCAGGAACTCAGAACCATCTTCAGAAGCAGTCATCTTTTTTTGTTTTTTGAGATGGAGTTTCATTCTGTCTCCCACGCTGGAATGCAGTAACACAATCTCGGCTCACTGCAACCTCCACCTCCCGATTCAAGCAATTCTCCTGCCTCAGCCTCCCGAGTAGCTAGGATTTACAGGCATGCGCCACCACACCTAGCTAATTTTTGTATTTTTAGTAGAGACGGGGTTTCACCATGTTGGCCAGGCTGGTCTCTAACTCCTGACCTCAAGAGATATGCCTGCCTCGGCCTTCCAAAGTGGTGGGATTACATGCATGAGAGCCACCATGCCTGTCCAGCCAAAAGCAGTCATCTTGATGATCCTTAAGGATGAAATGGGAGAGAAGGGTCTTAGAGGGAAGGAGTAAAAGTTGTAGGGTAGGGTTTGGAGGATGAATTTGAGAGGTGTTTAGCTTGGGAGGCACTTGCCCTAGACCCTATGCCTAAAGAGGATCTGGGAGGCGGGGGTTTGGAGGCGTATAAACCAGAGCAGGGAGAAATAAAAGTGAAGAGTTTGGACAGATGTTAGGCTGGTTAACAGGCGAATTCTGGAAGAAGGTTTGGGGAAAGTTTAGAAAAGTGAGGGAGGTGTAGGGTGGACAGGGGTTTTAGGAGACTCTGAAAGGTGAAAGGTGAAAGATGGGGTGGGGTGGGGTAGAATGGAGCCAGGTACTCCGGGTGAAAATATAACAATCTGGTCAAAATGAGGAAATGGTGAAGAGTGGATATACTTCTAGGCACTGCATTTTCACTTTTTGATAATCTGGTTACACCATGAAGTAGTCTTATAAACATATACCTTTAAATGGTTTTGCCCATTTAAAAATAATTCTTCAGGATCAGGCACGGTGGCTCAGGCCTATAATCCCAGCACTTTGGGAGGCCAAGGTGGGCAGATGACTTGAGGTCAGGAGTTTAAGACCAGCCTGGCCAACATGGTGAAACCCCATCTCTACTAAAAATACAAAAATTAGCCCAGTGTAGTGGTGAGCACCTGTAATCCCAGCTACTTCAGGAGGCTAAAGCAGGAGAATCGCTGGAACCCAGAAGGCACAGGTTGCAGTGAGCCAAGATTGTGCCATGCACTCCAGCCTGGGCAACAGAGCTAGACTCTGTCTCAAAAAAAAAAAAAAAAGTTCATATTTTATTTCTAAAATGTAGAAACAAAATGTACAATATGGAAGCAAATTTTGGTATGTCATAAAATACATGTAATTGTGTATGAAACAGATGGGTGGTATATTAGATGGGAGAAAAAAGCAGGTTACTAAAAAGTGAACTTTTGTGATATATCGTTTTTTAAGTATAAGTATGTTGTAACATATATGTATGTGAATGGATTCTGATCAAAATACACCAAAATGTTAACAGTGATTGTCTCTAGCCACTCATGCTGCTCATCTGTCTTGTCTTTTCTCTTTTATTTCTTTGAGACGGGATCTCACTCTGTCGCCCAGGTTGGAGAGTAGTGGCACAATCTCAGCTCACTGCAATCTCCACCTCCCAGGCTCAAGCGACCCTCCCACCTCAGACTCCTGAGTAACTGGGACCACAGGTGAGCCACTACGCCCAGCTAATTTTTTGTATTTTTTGTAGAGATGGGGTTTCACCCTGTTGCCCAGGCTGGTCTCAAACTACTGAGCTCAGGTGATACAACCGCCTCAGCCTCTCAAAGTGAAGTGGTGGGTTTACAGGCGTGAGCCACAATGCCTGTCCTTACTTTTCTGTAAGTGTACACTACTTTTATAATTAGGTCAAAAAAGACAACTGTAGAAGAATAAAAAATATTGAAGGACTAGTTTTTCTAATTCATTTTCAGCCTATTTGGAACTGGAGTGTTGTGAATGTTTTTCTATTTACAAACTAGTATGAACAACCCAACTTCCCAATCTGTCATTTACATTTTTCTGACCTCTAGGCATAGCCTAGGTATGACGTGATGGAAAAGGCTGGTTTAGAGATCAAGATGCTCCAACACAAAAGCCCCCCAAATCCTGAGAGTTTTTTGTTTTAAAAAAACAATCATTGGCCGGGCGCGGTGGCTCAAGCCTGTAATCCCAGCACTTTGGGAGGCCGAGACGGGTGGATCACGAGCTCAGGAGATCGAGACCATCCTGGCTAACACGGTGAAACCCTGTCTCTACTAAAAAATATAAAAAAAAAACTAGCCGGGCGAGGTGGCGGTCGCCTGTAGTCCCAACTACTCGGGAGGCTGAGGCAAGAGAATGGTGTAAACCCGGGAGGCGGAGCTTGCAGTGAGCCCAGCGAGATTGCGCCACTGCACTCCAGCCTGGGCGACAGAGCGAGACTCTGTCTCAAAAAAAAAAAAAAATCATTAAAACATTTAAAGACACATAAAACTACACCCACTCAGTGGCGCAACAAATTTACCAATACTAGAAGGGGAGGAGGCTGGCAACTACTGGAAATACTCTCTTTCAAGTAATAAATAATGGTCATTTTGAACCAAATTGCTTTCCACCTCAAGTCCTCCATGGATGGGAGCCTGGAGGATGCAGTGATGGGGGCTGTGGAATGGAAAGGAGCATGGGTAACTAGGTTTGTGAGGATCAGGGCCAGGCAGAGGGAACTGTGGGCTTTTCCAGGATCACTGGGGAACACAGAGGCTGAGGAGTGTGGGTCGGGTTCGAGCTTGGGAGGACCTCGGCCTCTCCAGGCTCTAAGGAGAGTCAGGGCTCACCACCTAGGGCGCTGGGACCACACGACGGATGTCATGCCTGGGAGATTGAACGGCCGGAACTGATTCTGAGAAAATGTGGAGGGGAGATGGGGATTCCGGGTTCTCCCGGGAGTCTGGCTGATGGAGTTCAGGCTTCAGAAGGGAGTCCGAAGAGCTAGACTGGGAAGGGGCTGGTGCCCGGGGCTGGGAGAAATCCAGACTCCGCTGGAGTTGAAAAAGGGCCGGGGTCCGGCTGAGGGAGCGCGAGTCCTCTGAGAGTTCGGGCTCCCTTGCGGGTCCGAGAGTCTAACGAACGCTCTGGGAACCCAGGCCGCGTTCGAAGAGCACCAACGACTGCGCGGTGTGCGGCGCGAAAAGTAGATCTGCGGCTGAACCCCTACGCCGATTACTCAGCGGCGGCCCTATCGAGCGGGTGGTTCGAGCTCGAGGTGGCGCCGGTCCTGTAAATCGTGGAGGATCTCAGGTCCCCTGTGACCCAGGGCGTAGTCTGCTGTGTCATGGTGGCCTCCCTGTTCAAGAAACAGTTGGAAACTGGAGGTCGGTTGGGAACCATGCTTGTTGGGCGCGCGGAGGCCGGTTGGGAACCATGTTCGTTGGGCGCGTGGAGGCCGGTTGGGAGCCATGTTCGTTGGGCTCACGCAGACCTGGAATTAGTCCCTGGGCGGAGCCTGGAGCCGAGCGCGGCTGGTTGCCTGGGAGAAGCATAAGGGGGCGGGGGCGGGGAGAGGGTGTCGCACATGCGCACAGAGCCTGGGCGGCTACGGAAGCGGCGAGATTGTCCCTCGGCTGCAGCCTTGGTGCGACCCGGCCCGTTGCCGTAGAGATGGGCAGGGCTGGATGGAGTAGGGTGCGGTGAGCTGAGCTGACCCTGCTTCGCCACGGGGACTGCAGTGACCCCGGCTTGCCGGCAGGGCGGGTAACCAGTTGAGCCAGGGTGGGGCTGCTCAGGGGCGTGGAGCGGAGGCCAGGATTTCCCTGAAGACCCAACACAAGCGATTCCTTTCTGCGACGAGACCATTGCTATGGAAACCAAAGCTCCAGGCCAGCGGAGATTGAGGCTCTCGGGTCGTGACTGGTCTTTCGCCCGAAGAACCTCGCCTGAGGCTTCCGGAAGCGGCTACTTCCTGAACGAACCCGCCCACCCTCCTGAGGGAGAGAGGTAAGACCCTTGGGGTCTTGACACCACGCAGGCGAAGAAGCCTGTTCCAATGCCAGCTCCCCCAGGAAACCTACCTGGCCCACCCCTAGAAGTGGTGCCTCGCTCTCCTGAACTCTTGGACTTTGTTCCACGTTCATAACTTAGTATTTGACGAACGCCCCGCGATGTTTGTTCTTTTTTCCCACACATAATAGACCATAAAGATTGGCTTCCTTACTTTATGACTGAACAAGTCCTTTTCCCCGCTGTGTCTCAGCTTCCTCTTATGTAAAATGGAAATATTAAATCTAGACGCTGGTCTGATTAGGTTGCTTTGAAGATCGAACCGGATGAGGGAAGCCAAAGACTTCATAGGCTGTAAAGTGATGAAACTGAACTGCTACCCAGTTGCTATTTTTTTCTTCTCCTCTCTCCTCCTCAAGCTAAATATTCTTTAGATCTCTTGTGATTTCTTCAGGCGGTCTTTGCGACTCCCTAGGCTCCAACCTGGAAGAAATCTCTTTACACTTCCCTTTCACAGAGCCCTGCATTTTAACTTCCCTATCAGAAGCAAGAAAAATATTTATCATTTTTAGAGGGCTTACTCTATGCCAAGCCCTGATAAAACTCTACGTGGGTTATCTCATTTAATTTCACAACATCCTTGTAAGGTAGGTACTGTTATCCTATTTTCAAGCTCTGTCTGCCTGTAATTGCCTGTTTACTATCTGTTTCTCCCGCTAGACTTTGAACTCTCTGAGAAAAGGGGCCGTGCCTGTCTTGTACATTTCAGTATCTCCAACACCTAATACAGTGCCTGATAGATATTTCTTTTCTTTTTTTTTTCTTTTTCTTTTTTTTGAGACTGAGTCTCGCTCTGTCGCCCAGGCTGGAGTGGAGTGGCCGAATCTCAGCTCACTGCAAGCTTCGCCTCCCGGGTTTACGCCATTCTCCTGCCTCAGCCTCCCGAGTAGCTGGGACTACAGGCGCCCACCACCTCGCCCAGCTAGTTTTTTGTATTTTTTAGTAGAGACAGGGTTGCACCGTGTTAGCCAGGATGGTCTCGATCTCCTGACCTCGTGATCCACCCGTCTCGGCCTCCCAAAGTGCTGGGATTACAAGCTTGAGCCACCGCGCCCGACCTCTTTTTTTTTTTTTTAGATGGAGTCTCACACTGTCGCCCAGGCTGTAGTGCAGTGGCGGGATCTTGGCTCACTGCAACCTCTACCTCCCGGGTTCAAGCAGTTCTCCTGTCTCAGCCACCTGAGTAGCTGGAACTACAGGCCCATGCCACCACGCCTGGCTAATTTTTGTATTTTTAGGAGAGACGAGGTTTCACCATGTTGGTCAGGCTGGTCTTGAACTCCTGACCTCTGCCTGCCTCAGCCTCCCGAAGTGCTGGGATTATAGGCATGAGCCACCATGCCCAGCCCTGATAGATACTTCTTTACTAGCATGAAAATTACTCCCCCCATCACTGCCCTCACCCACAAGAGCATTGTCACTTCTGCAAACTTTTAGTTGCTGTGATGAACAGCACATTCCTGTATTCCCGTTACCCACTGGGCACTGGTTTGGGGGGACGTCAGTTCACTTCTCTCTGGATTTTCTGATGAGGATCCAGAATATTCCTTAGCATTTAGGCTTCCATCTGGGTTCAGGAGGCTTTTTCTTTGCCCTTCATATCACCTTTATAACAAGCCAGCCCTCTCTGTCCTTCCTGGGATGAGTCTGATGCATTTGAGTCTAGGGCATTGGCAGGTAGAATTTGCCTATACAACCTTTAGTCTTTCTCTTTGGTAGCCTCAGAACCACCCCCATCCCCACCCAGCCCCTCCCTGGAATTCTAGAGAAATATGGCCAGAGAAGTCATTCTTTCCAGAAAAACCTCTCAGAAGGCAGAGTCATAGCTGTTGGGAGTTATTTTTTCATTCAACAAATATTTATCAAGCACCTACTTGTGGGGACACAGCCCTTGGCACTAGTTGGTGATAGAGTGGGAGTGAAGATAGACACCGTCATATCCCTAGAGGGCTCACAGTCTGTGGGAGAGACAGACATTCATCAGATAATCAGGCAGATCAGGGCAAAACCACATCTTCAATAAGTGTTAGGAAGGAGAGAACACAGGGCTAAGAAAGCCTGGAGCAGAGAGTCGGTCAAACATGAGGGAGGGGTGTGATCTAAGAAGATTTCCCTTAAAACAGTTACCTTTGAGTTGGTATCTTAAGGCTCCTCAGAATTCTGCAGTCTTCTGCTGAATGGACCAGATCAGAATCTAGTAAGTTCATAAGGAAAGGGACTGAGAGATCAGCAGAGGCAAAGGCCACTAGCTGGAGGGGACAGGCTGTCCCTAAGGAACTGTAAGTGGCTCAGTTCACCTGAGGCCCTTCAGAGCATGGGGAAGCCTAATAAGAGGCTAGAGAGACAGGCAGGAGCCAGGTCACAAATGGCCTTGACAGCCAAACTAAGTGGCTCCATCTTATCCTGACAGTGGATAGCCACTGAAATATATTAAGCAGGGAAACAAAACTTTGGCTCCTCATTTCTCATGCCTGGTGAAGACTGCCATTTGGCCTTGAAAGGTGTGATCTAAATCCAAATGGGCCTATTTCAGTGGGACGTATAAAGATGTCCTGGTTTTGCAGCTTTGTTTTAAGACTGAGAAAGTGAGGGTCCGAGAGTCTTAAGGAACGCTCCAGGGACCTGGGCCGCACCTGAAGAGCACCAACGACTGCGTGGTCTGCGGCTCAGGAAGCAGATCTGTGGCTGAACCCCTATGGCGATTACTTGGTGGCTGAGTCTATCAAGTGGGTGAAGGCAGGGAGTCTGCCTCTCCTTGGGGTGCATTTCCCAGCTCTGCTGCAGGCAGCATGATGCAGGTGTGGCAGGTCTTCCTGAGGCCCTGCTGCCTCTCTGTGCTTGCCCGTGGGGTTGCTGTGGTGCCCATTATGCTGACTTCAGGAAGCTTTTAGCCACTCCCTTTCCCAGGCCCTCTTCAGAGGTAAGGTGCAGGAGCATGTCTAACAATTTAGGACTTTGCATTTGACATCAGCTTCACATGGGCATATCCTATCTCTTTAAAGAGATTGTTCTTAGAGGGGGAAAATGGGGACCCTCCCTACTCTTAGACCAACCTCCTCAGTGACTGCCAGCACAATCGGCTCTGGTTCCATGCCACTGGCTCAGGGCCTTATGATTTGGGCGTAAAGTCGGAAGACTGAGGAGGAAGACTGTACAAGTGGTTCCCATTCAGAGGGACTGGAAAGAAGGAGAGAATTTGGAAGAGCAGCAAGAAGAGGGCTGTGTGAGCTTAAATGGAGAGTCAGACCAGGGCACACCTGAGGGACACAAGTCATCTGCTCAACTAGAACTGTGGGACCCCTCAAGGGAGGCCTCAAGTGCCAGACTTGGGGACCTGCCCTTTGTCCTATAGGGCAGTGCACATTAGACCACCTGAGAAGCATGTGGAAAATGCAGATTCATGCTCTTCATCCTGAGAGTCTGACTCTGTGGGTTTGGAGAGGGACCTGGGTATCAGTGCTTTAAATGAGTTTGCTGGGTAATTCTGCTGTGATGATCAGAGGACTACCGTGGGGAATGCTATAGGCCTATCCATCCATTTCCCAGGGATCCCCTGGATTTGGCCCTCTGGGCACCTGCCCTCTAAACATCCTCTCCCTCCCTGCAGTTTTCCATGGACACAGCCTAGCAGAAAGATGCAGCCTTCATGCTTCGCTGACTACTGACCTCTGACCGACCGCCTTGATGACAGCACCCTCGTGTGCCTTCCCAGTTCAGTTCCGGCAGCCCTCAGTCAGTGGCCTCTCGCAGATAACCAAGAGCCTGTATATCAGCAATGGTGTGGCCGCCAACAACAAGCTCATGCTGTCTAGCAACCAGATTACCATGGTCATCAATGTCTCAGTGGAGGTAGTGAACACCTTGTATGAGGATATCCAGTACATGCAGGTACCTGTAGCTGATGCCCCTAACTCACGTCTCTGTGACTTCTTTGACCCTATTGCTGACCATATCCACAGCGTGGAGATGAAGCAGGGCCGTACTCTGCTGCACTGCGCTGCTGGTGTGAGCCGCTCAGCCGCCCTGTGCCTCGCCTACCTCATGAAGTACCACGCCATGTCCCTGCTGGACGCCCACACGTGGACCAAGTCGTGCCGGCCCATCATCCGACCCAATAGCGGCTTTTGGGAGCAGCTCATCCACTATGAGTTTCAGTTGTTTGGCAAGAACACCGTGCACATGGTCAGTTCCCCAATGGGAATGATCCCTGACATCTATGAGAAGGAAGTCAGTTTGATGATTCCACTGTGAGCCATCCCACCAGCCCCTGCATTGGAGTCAGGGGTACAGATCTATTGTTGATTCTACACCAAGATCCAAACTTGAACATTCTACTTTTGTTTATACAGAAAAAAACAGATGTTGCCTTTTATGAGCACAAGGAAAAAGAGTTGCTGTAGCTTTTAACTTTATAATCCATTTTTTTAAAGAGTCAACTCACTAGTTGTGAAATGGTGAAAGTCAGTTTTCTGCCCTGTAAGTGACAGGCCTCTGCTGGCCAGGGGATAGGTTGAGGCAGATGGTGCCCAGAAGAAAGAGGCCAGCACCCATTGCACATGGCAGGCCTGGAATCCTGCAGCCCTCCCCAAAACCGAGTGACCCAGGAATGAATCTGCTACAATTCCACCTCGTTCTTTCATACCCAGAGCCAGAGCCAGAGCCTTAAGCATCATGGTACCTCTTGTGCTTCTCACAGTAAGTGCCAATCTGCTAGATAAATGGCCTTCAGGCAGTGCTGCAGGAATCCTGGGGGGTCCCAGGCCACCTGTGCTTCCACCTTCACTACAAGTGGCCCAATTCTGATTTTCTAGATTGTACTTATGCATAAGGTAGTTTCTAAAGAAAACATTCCACTGTTTAATTTTTTTTTCTTTTTTTGAGACCGTTTTGTTCTGTCACCCATGCTAGAGTGCAGTAGTGTGATGATGGCTCACTGTAGCCACAACCTCTCAGGCTCAAGTGATCCTCTTTACCTTAGCCTGCTGAGTGGCTGGGACTACAGATGTGTGCCACCATGCCCGCCTCATTTTTTTTCTTTTTTTATAGAGATGAGGTTTTACTATGTTGCCCAGACTGGTCTCAAACTCCTGGCCTCAAGCAGTCCTCCTGCCTCAGCCTCCCAAAGTGTTGGTGAGCCACTGCACCCGGATACCACTGTCTAAAAAAATTAAAAAAAAAAAAAAATTGTGAGTACTATTGTACATGGCAAAGTTTCAAAGAGCTCTTGGCCATCCCTCACCAAACTTTGACGAAAGATGGTGTTGGTCCCCTTCTCCAGGGCACATGAGAAAAACAGGCCTGAAGAAAACCAAACACCGCATGTTCTCACTCATAGGTGGGAACTGAACAATGAGATCACTTGGACTCAGGAAGGGGAACATCACACACCGGGGCCTATCCACTGGGGAGGGGGCAGCGGGGGGAGCGGACTTGCATTGGGAGTTATACCTGACTCGTAAATCTGACG